TTTTAAAAATGTCACACAGGTATCTAATATACAGAGTCAACAACCCCGCAAGGACTTAAGAAAAATTAAATTGTATTGAATCAATCCCTAAAGAATGCTATAAAAAAAATTATAATTGATGTTTAAATATATTTTATTGTTTTTAAATATTTTTATTTTCATTTAAACTATTAATATTAGATTAACTTGTCAAGTTGGATTAAGAATTTATTTAATAACCAAAACAATAAAAAACAACATTATGATAAGTACTTCTAATCAAAGTTTGAGAATTACACACTGGGTTAAGATGTTCTTATCATTTATGATAATACAGCGAAAAAAATATTGACTTAATCAAAACACAATATGTCATACATTTTAGTTTTTTAAGATCTTTCCAGTAGCCAGTAGGTCTTATATAAGATTAGAAATCTAACACAACCAATTATGTGAGCATGTATGATATTAAATTGATTTCAAACTCGTCAAATTATTTGAACTTCATAAGGTTATAACTTGTAGTCTGCTTATTAAAAATACAATGATTTGTTGTACAAATCTAGTTCATCGTTAAAATCGAATATATGAATGTTATAAACTGATTTTGAAATATTTCTACTTATAATTATATTCTATTTTAGGTACTTGGAAAATAGCATCTTTTATACTACAGAAATAGAAAAGATACTAATAATAACTATGATATCAACATACTATGTTTTATTCAAGAACTTGGTTTTATTTTTTCCCCAAGATATGTGTTGTAGCTGCGTATAATATATTTTATGTATTATGTACATTTTACATACCTTTTATGTATACTGTTTATATAATATACTAGAGAAATGACCAGAGAGAAGTTATATTGGTTGCCCACAGAGATACTAAAAATGACATTCATGATATAAACATTTAGTGTTATATATTAATAAAAAGAGCAGGGTATACCTAAATAAGAAATGGCGGGGTTACATCAGAATATAAACTAATTTTTCTCGGCGTATATGATATTTACATTTTGTTTTGTACCATACGCATATTTTTCTTGTAATATTATGATGTAAGTAGGAAATAAATCAATAATCGGCATCTCTTAGGTCTACAAAGAAGTATAAAATAATATTTTATATTGTAATTATCGTATGACTAAATGGATAATTTGAATTTTTATTATCCACATATGACTATTGATTACTTGAAAGTTAAAATTTAAGTATTTAACACATACATATCATCGTCTTACTCAATGGCGAGAAGACACACTCGGCACCTACAATTGTACAGCAAAGCAGTTACTTACTTTCCTCCCATTTTTATTTTTCTTTCAGATGTTACTTAAAAGTTTAGCGAGTTGTATGTTATAGGAAATAGTTGTTTATTTTTATTTCTTTAGCTATATCCTCTCGTTTTGATAACGGTTGAAACTTCAGCGCTTTCGTATAAATACTTAAAGGTGTTATTTTGAAAAAAAAATTTAAAAAAAAAGCAATTACTAGTCAACGCATTCAAGCTAGAATAACAGAATAGTATCATATTCATAAATAAGTAATGTTATAATTTTTTTAAATTGATAAAATATAAAATTCGTTTGTTTTAAAACGTAAAATCTTAATACAAAGTTACTTGTCTTATACTTATATATCTCTTATATAACTCTATTTAATACTTTTGGAAAAATGTACCTACTCGTAAATTATTTTTATTAGCACTTAAGCTTTTAAAAACGTACTTTAAGTACAATACTAAACTGAGTTCCGCACAGAATCGATTTTCAAAAGCGATAATTTATCATTGGCTTAAAATTTATAATCATACATTACAGTAATAAAGTTGTACTTGTCTTGTCGTCGCTTCTTGGACGTGTTTTCAGTATACCCATACTAGGTAGGTAGGTAGGTAGCTAGTGTTTGACTATAAAATCATGTTTCGGTTTCTTATGAATTTCAAACACATTCGAACTGTAGTAATCATGTAGGTTATAGACTTGTACAAAAAATCTACAACCTCGAGGCATGCTATATAAATATTTCGAACTGGTTACAACCTAGTGGATATAGGTACTTTAGTAAAAATTGTGACTAAAAATACGCTGGATCTTCGAACGTGCATTATGCATGGTAGGTTTATATAATTATGTTGTATATTTGTCAGATACGAATAAATAATACTTCTTTTAGTAAACAATACTTCTCATACTTCTCTAATACTTCTCGTCTAATACTTTTACGTTAACATTATTCATAAATAAGTGGTTTTGAGAAAAATGAGCATAATAATGCTAATATATTTCAAACATTATATAATTTGTTTATCACGTTTATCACGTTTATCACGTTTATTTATAATTTTTAAATGTCTGTTCTTTGTTAGACTCAACGATATTAATTTATTCTTAAATCATGAATTCTCTTAACCAGTATTCTCTGTTATTTGAACAACATATTTATTTTTGTCAATATTGTTCATGAATTGCATTTTAATAGTGTTTTCATTTTTTTCGTACAATTCAAAATAATATAAAATTGAGTTCTGAGCCCTCTCATAATTTTGTCACGTTTCTCTTTGGGCGTACATTGTGAGCTGCTTTCGTACGCAAATGTTAATACAGAAACTGCTTTACGCGGATTTCGTGATATTTACAACGAAACGGATAGGTTGAGAACGTCGGTAGATTACTGCTGTAGAGGTTTAACATCCGATGAGCTAAGAGGATATCAGCACACAAATTGATTTCTCTCTCTCTCTGACACATTCGCAACATGGCAAATTTGCGTTTAGCAGAACCAACCCATTACCCAGTTTTGTGAGCCTTAGAATTAGAGTGAACCATTTGAGTATCATCACACTTAAAATTAAGAACATCTATGTTTGACGTTAGTACCTTTTTTAAAAATCTGTTTTAAATTATAAAGGAAGACATTCGTATGTTTAAATGTTAATATTTTACATACTCATAACCTGCATACAAATTGAAGTGTCTTAATAAAACCAACGTACAAACACAGGTAAAACACATGTCCTTTAAATTAAGTTTTATAATAGGTCAATTCACTGAAGTAGGTACTTAACATAAAAGTATAATGCCGGTTCTCCTAAATGCGAATATTCCATGTCCGTTAGTCAGAAATAAAAAATAAATAGTACACCGACATCCTCTTAATGATTTAACCATCTACAATTTACATTACCACATAGGTAATAGGGTTACAGTATTAATATGATAGAATGTTTCTTTTTGTTATATATGTATATATAAACATTACGAGTAACTTCACGCATGCGCACATCATGCACCTACTAATGATACTTGTCGATAATATGGACTACAAAAAGATATGCCGTGGCTCCATCCATGGTATATGATCTAAGAGTGTAATATAATTTTTTTTTAAATCCGGTATTCATAAATGCAATCAATTACTGGTAACTGACATTTTTTTGAAATGGCTATCGCTTAATTCGTAACCTGTAATCTTGAATGTACTACCGGTAATTGGTTACCTCTAATAACAGGATCAGTTCAAAACCGGTTACCGATATTAAAAAATGTTAATGGCAATTTCAATAAAATTTTAAAACCCTGAATTTAAACTTTTGGACCCATGTATTTTGTTCTTTTGGTTGAATTTATAGAGAAAAACATAACATGTTTTTTACTCGTATTATGTTTTTTGTTACATCTGTATAATATAGGTATATTACTTAACTAGATGTAATAAGAATAATCATTACATCCTTGATAAATTTGGATAAATTACTATAGTTAACTCAGTTTTTAACTCTACTTAAAATTTAAAATTTAAATATTATTATGATATTATTGAAAATGCAGGTAATCATATTTTGTATTTAAAATATTAAATGTTTAATAATATAGGATTTATCAAGTTATTTCAATATTCTAGGTTTCCTCAGTTATTTATATTACATTGTGCATTTTATTGATTTTATTATTGCTAGAAGGGGCCTTGCACGTATAATGGTTAAACATAGGATAAACAATATAAACATATCCTGCACTCTGCAGTATTAAATACTTTTATATATCTAGCTATTGTTGTTTTTTAAATATTTATAATTATATTATAATTTAATTGTCGAGTCAAAATGTATATAATATACATATTAAATATATATTATAATTATAGTTTTCAATCATGTTTTACACGAACACGACAATCCCTATTTTATATAGAACTTTCTTGAAATGGAATTATACTTGAATAGTGAATAGCTTTCGGTGAAAATTTCAAAAAATGTGAGGTTCTTTCAATCAGTTTTATTTCGTTGTTTGCTCGTGCAATATAATTCTACCCTTTTGATTTTATTCTTTCTAAACCAACTGTTATACAAAATATATCAAAATCAAACATTGGTATGAGATTATATAACAAATAATTTTAAGATGATTATCTTAATTCGTATTAATGATTTATGACACAACTACGTTTTTAAAATACGTTTAAATACTAAATAGTAACAAAATATATTGTTTTATAATAACAAATCGAATAACATAGGTACACAAGAGTATACGACTGTTTTATAGTGACCTACCTTGATTCGTTATACATTTTGTTCAAATTGATCGATCATCTAAATTTGAATTGATTACCTACTATAATAACATATTGTTAATTAGATTTAAATTATTTTTAATAAAATATTCTGTTTTAAAATATGGATTTACATACAGCGGTTTTCATTTAAAATGTTATAAAATCTAAAAAATAAGCATAATATAGATCATCTCTTAAATATAAATATGTTGGTGAAATTTATAATATAATGTGTTTGAAAAAAATAGTTTATAATTAAAGTGTCTTATTTATAAAAGAGTAGAACTATAATTGAGTTTTTTTGAATCCTATGAGTCTATGACATATAATTTTATGATTGTAATTATTTGTTTGTATTATTCACATTTATTTTGAAAAAGCTATAATTTATAAACAATTAATTAGTAACATATTTTAAACATGTTTATGCGTAATTAACTGTGTGATTTACTTTTTTAGGTTCAATTAGCAATATAGATGAAACTCAATATTTTCATTGCAACAAATCTCAAGTAAGAAAAGTAATATCTGGCGTAGTTGGTGCGGCGTCAAGTGTTACATCTGTCCAAGTAGCAAATTTATTAAGACTTTTCAAAATACCTCAGGTAAAAATCAAATAAAAATTATTTATGAAGTAATTTTATTTAAAAAAAAGAAAAAGAAACTTTTGGAAGTAGGTACCTATTTGAGATTGATGATACATATTAAATATTATTTTTAAAGGAAACCTGCAGAGTTATCAAATATTTTGAATGTTCCATGCCAAAATAATATGTTCAGTAATATAACAAGTTAAATTATTTTTAGTTAATTTTCCCCATTCTGAAGTAGTACATACATAATGGTTCTTATGGATTACTTGTCATAAAACCAATAACATGGAATGAGTTTTTTAAAATATTTTTTTCCCTAATCATGAGTCCTTATTTTTCTGTGCTCGTCCTACATTTTCATCTCCCATTATTCTAACATTTTAATTAAAGATTATAATTATAATTTTCAAATAAGTAATATAAATAATGATGGTTTTTCGTAGATTCTGCGTGGTGTGATAAATGTATTGAAAATAATTGGAGAGGTTTTACAATGATGTGTGTTTTTTTATTGTTTATTTATAACTATTTTTGTGTTTGTCTTCCATAAAATTTGCTTTAATCTTTAGCATCGATGGTAGTATTGGGAAGACATTTCAACATTTTATCTATTTGGTGCTTTTCGTAGTCAAAAGCATAAAATGTCAAATAAATGTGAAAAAAAACAATGAGGAAACGGTGATATTTTTAATTTTGTATTTTTATCATAATTCAGAAACGAATATTGGAGACTTGGATTTTGTATCAAATTGTTATAAAAAAAACAATTTCCTAAAAATTTAATTTTTTAAAAATATTTTGTCGTATTTTTTGAAAATATTCAAATTCTAACTCAAACAACTTCATTATTACTCTATATGTTATTATCGTTATCTGTACTCAATAACATTTTCAAAATATTTCGACGAACTTTAAACTATATACTGACATTTGATATTTTTTCTTTTTAGTTATTTTATGTAGGTTAGTGAGTGTACAATGTTTTCGGCATAAGTTAGTTAAACCTAATCAATAAAATAGATACTTATACTAATAAACATCGAACATGGTATACACTTTTCTTAGAAATAAACGTTGGTCATTATGTCTCTTGTATACAGAATCGTTTTTTTTTCGTATACATTGATTATCATTAAGTTCAAATTGGACACATATGTTACTACTTTGACGTACACTATAAACTTAATGACGACGTACACTAGAAACCAGGTCTTATACAGCATAGTGAGTTCCTCGGGTTTTTTGTTTGTTCGTAGTATTATATTAACTCAATTAATAATTCTGGGAATTATATATATTAAACATAATTTATGGATTGTAAAACTGAAATACTGATTGAAATAATATAATAAGTAAAGTTAAGGAACTACTTCGGTGGAAAAAATTTTTTTGGAAAGAGAATTGGTATTGGTAACCATAGTAACTTAAGTTGTAACGAACTCTGCAATGGCTATGGGCGCCTCTTACCTTTAAGGTTTTACATAGTATAGAAACTTAAAACTAATTATAAATTATAACTATTATATACACTCTGGAGAAGAAAAAAATTGTAATAATAATATGTGCATTTGTATGGTATATTTTAATGTTTTTAATTTAAAAATACTGAGTACTTTTTTATGATAATTAATTTTATCCATATTTTTAAAAACTGCTTTTTAAAATGTAATAAATCATAGTACATGTTTATGATTAAATATAGAGAAGGCAGGACTTTAATCTTGCTTTAATTGTGTCCGGTCACTTTTTTGGAAAAAAAAATAAGTACTTATAGATTTATATTCTAATAAAACATAAACAAATAAAGATGAATGTTAGGAATAATTTGTAAATACATTAATGGGGAAAAATTTGAATTTTATTAAATCAATTTTTTTGGTTGATTAATCGAAAACTACTAATGTTGCTTACAACGATACAACGTAGATATTATTCCTGTTTTTCTGTTGTCTTTTGTTAGTTTTTCTAATTATTAAGAGAAATACAGGAGATGTTTTACTTTTAACCTCCAAAACAGTACAAATAAGATAATATAGAGTAATGATACTAATAGTATATTTAGAGTACTATATGCAATCTTGGAATAAAACAATAATGGAATTCAAATTACTTTGTTTGTAGAAGTATTTCTAGTATTAAGTCATCAAACGGGTTACTCCACACACAAAGTGTGTTTATTTGATATCCTATGGAATCCCGAAAACAAAAAACATTTATTACGTTTTTACTTTGATAATTTATTTTACGAAACAGTTAATTCAGTGCCATTGACTTCTAAAATAAGTATTTGAAGTATTTGGTAAGGTTCCAAGGCAATGTTTTTTCTTATTGAACTACTCCAAATATGCGAAATTCGTAAAGCTAAAAGCTAAGGCCTTTTAGTTGCATTACAACTTAGCAAAGATTTAGTATTTTTGTTTTTATATTAACTATTTGCAATGACAGACTATACCTACAGTGTACATAATAGGTTTTGACTAGTATTTGTTTATTTTTTAATGCATTTAATATTTAAATACAATAATAAATTATCATTTTATTTATTATTATTATTAATATTAAGAAAATAGAAAATATTTACTTCTAAAACGTAATATTTATTTTTCAGACCATTAATATATTTATATGAATAAAAAATTAAATCGGTAAATCGGTCTGCCGACTGATTATTCTGTTTTTAGACAGAGTATAGCAATGCGAAAATACTTTTTAAACTGATTTAAATTTGTTTTTATGTCTACTAGAGAACAGGTAGTCCGCTTTTCCTAATTTCAAACCCCCTTTCCAAAAAAATGATAAATTGAGTTTGAATATTTTGAAATTTTATAATTTTCAAAGTTAATTATTCGTAATTCAAATCAGAAATCTTAAAACGTGGACATTAAAACGAATTCAAATCAGTTTTCTGAAAACTTATAACATTCTACAATAGATAGGTAGGATGTACAAAAAGTACATGCAATTGAGAATAAATTGTCTATACCGTTCAAGCGAGCAACACGAGAGTGTGACTTGTACATGCGCGTGCGTTAGTGCTCCGCTATTACTAATTTTACTCACTATTACTCTTACGTCACACACACTTATGATCACTTACTACTCACACATTTATAACACCCACATGCATGCAATTTGAAAACTGGCTATTTCGAACTCATTGAGAACAGTACTCCGCCGAACCCCCTGAATTTGAATACTTCAAAATGAGTTTGAAAATTAAAGTCATTATTTATATAAATGAATTCTTACTTGTTTAGTAGGATCTGTCGTCATTGATTCAAGATTAAATTCAAAGTCATGTTGCACCGTCACATGGCTGTCTTGAATTTGGTTTTTTAAAAGGTTTTCATGATTTATTCGATACTTTAAAATGATTTTCCAACTTCTATCATTCATTGAACTTTGATAATAATTTTTATGTGTACGCAGTTGCAGAATTCTGTACTGATAAAAACTACCCATAAAATAGGTCAAATGTACTTGATTACTTAATTCAGGATTGAGTTTCCGGGTGTTTGATATGCCGTTTGTTTTGTATTGACTTTGAAATAGTATTAAAATTTACAATACGAGTTCAAATATTTATTTTGGTTAGGTGTATTCCATGACATTTTTATCAAACCATTTAATTAATTAATGTTATTTACCTAAGGTGTACTATTACATTTGTATGTTTTGATTTACTATTTATATTTTATTATGGCAACACATTTTTAATAAACCAATTAATAGAATTTTATATAATGTATACCGTAAAAAAAGGCAAATGCCAAATGGTACCATACTTTATGGATGGCAGCAGTTGTGTACTCAACCATATTAAATGTATAGAAGAACAGTCACTGTCTCGTGAAGAACCTAGGGAATGATATGGTTCAGCATGGTATGAATACTGATTTTTAAGCAAAAAAAAAATCTTTATCACGGTTTTTCAGTACTCAGTGTACATATTCTAAATTGTACAATGATAAAATATAATACTGTTTATAGAAAAAATATTTAATTATTTTGAGAAAAATAAATAAAACATTAATAATATGATAGATACTATAGGTAATATATTTCCATATTAAAAATAATTATGTTTTATCACTTCTTATTGTATAATAATCTGAGCTCATATAAAAATATTATGTACTTACTTAATCTTCTTTGTATATTTGTATATTCACTGATTTTGTATAAGTTATTTTTTCTAAATAGTGGTATGTTAAATTGTTAAAACATTGCTGTACATATTTGTAACATTGTATTTTTAAGTTGTAAACAGTTCATCAGTCTTAATCACATTGATGTGTATTTATGTTAACTATCACATACGTGTTTTTGATCGAAATGAACCATGAAGTTGGTATTCAATTATTTCAATATACCTTCAGTCCTTCAGACCTTCAGGTTTTCAACTAACCTTTTATTTGAATTTTAATATTATCACAACACACTTGTTTATTAATTGGTAATAATTTTAAATCTAACAACGGCAATATTGGTTCAAACATTAATAGGTATTGGAATACATTTAGAACAATTAATTTCACAAAATCCGCTCGGAAAATATATAATTTACTCATACCTATGTTTATATTTTATTATTTTATTATTTTAGTGTTATTATATTATGCATAAACTTGTTTGATAAGTTCTTCAGAATTTTTTTTATTTCGTTTTATTGTTTATTTTTTCATTCTATTATAATTAAATAAAGAATTTTGTTAGTTTAAATATTAAAATAAATTACAAATTCGGGTAGCACATGCATGCTAAACAAAATACAAAACAGTTTGCAAAGCGGTGTATCATACTAGTACCTATATTATAATCTCAATATGATGGACATTATTATTTTATTTTTATGAGTAATGACGGCGATGGCCGTATTATAGCCTATAGGCGTTGCTATCGTTCAGGAAAAAACCATCTATTGTAAGTCAGTTATGGATATAATATAGTTATATCGGGCGGAAAATTGGATTTTAGTATCATTCGACCGCCGCCACCGTGATATCATCGCT